CTTCCCCGAGGTGGGACATCTCTCTCCTGCCCCGTGTTCTTTCTCAAGCCTGGAAAATACCAGCGGCTACTCTCCTGGCTCTGTAATTTTCCAGCTGACCTGGAATTCCCCCTGTCTCCTGCCCTCTTTCCTGGGTCACGGACCCAGGACTCCACCCAAGTCTCTGCTGGCCACATATGGGTTTGCCAAGGACTTTGGAAAGCCATCAGGGCCCTGGGGGGTCCGGGCTGGAGGTGCACATGCTTCCAGGGAAGCAGTGCTGAGTGATTTCAAGCTAAACTTGTTCAGTGACTCAGAAGGCAGATTCTCACTCTTTTCTCCTCTGCCCTCTTCTGCACTTACTCTGGTCCCCACTACCACCGGGACACCACTGTTTCCCTCTCTCCTCTGAAGTTCTGGTTCTGTCCCCCTCTGCCTTCCCTGCTTCCCAATGGGGGTGCCGCCTTTCTCTCCTACAAAGGCCCAGAACATGAGGTGGGGGGCGGGGGCGACTGGAGGCATCACAGGCAGGTTGGTACAGGGGCCAGCACTGGAATCCAGTGCCCCTCCCAGGCTAAGGCCCGGCAGGCATCTTTCTGGGATTTTGCGGTATTCAAGCCAACAACCCACCCAGACGGGATTTCTCTCCTCATGAAACTCCACGGCGAAAAACCGACACAGCCGGAACCCTGCACTCTGGTCAGCCCGAGCACCGGGTTCTACTCTCAGCACAGGCCTTCTGGAAGCAGGTCTGTCCGGACTCCCTCCACAGCTAGCACAGAGGACGTTTCCTGGCAGCGTTATCACCCTTCTTCCCCATACACTCCCTTACGGAGGAAAAAGTTGGGATTTGGCTCACGCTGCAGAGGGTGAGTTAGCTATAAGGAAGCTTCCTAGCTGAATCGAACCGCGAACGGTAGGTAGAGAGACTCGGAGAGAACTGCCGCCTCCTCCCCGGGACGGTCCTGGATGGCGCGGGGTGCAGCTCTGCCTGGGGACCAGGGTGGCCAGAATGACACGTACCAGCAATGGTCGCAGACTGGGGCCGGGGAGGGGCGGGGAGGTGCCCCGCGGAGCCGGCTAGCTTTTACCTAAATGTTTTGGTGGCGAGCGACAGAGGGGGCGGTGCGCTGCCCTAGGTAATGATAGGGCAGTCTGGCAGGCACGCGGGGGCTGCCCGGCGCGGCTGTGGCTACAAAGACAGCTCAAGACCTCCCGCTTTCTTCCCTTGGGT